GTCAACTTTGAACATAATATCATGGGTTTGCTTCGAGCTCCCACAAGAAGTCATGTTAATGAAAATGTATTCTTTAGTTATAAATCTATGATCATTTCCGAACAGTCTTCAACACTGAGAGCATCAGCCACCAGCCAATTGTTGTTCCAAGTCACCCGGAAGAAATGCCCTCGGCAGAGATGCGGAAAACAAGTTTAAGGTGTTTTCAGCCTCCAAATCGAGAGAACCACGACGACGGCGATTAACTCCGCTGCAGTATGATACCCACACAGGAGACGAAGACTCACTGCCACAACCTACCGCCGTTTACCAGCTCTGAATATGGAGACCAACGGGGCCGGAGTGACTAAAGGACACCCGACGCTCAAAAGGCGACCATTTTTTTTCTTACTTTACTTATTGGCACTCCATTCGTCTTTTTCTCGGCTTCGTGGGAAAAAAAACAATAATAATAAATAATCAAAATGGTAAAATCAAAGAAATGCCTGTTTTTGTTGAATTACTGAAATTCCCTTTTATCGAAATACTGAAATACTGAAATTTGATAGGTACTGTGATCATTGGGCAATGCTCATGGAAAACTTCTTTAGTACTGGGTTTGGTGGAGAATGTGATTCCTGCACCAATATGACACATTGTTTTAACAGATACCAAGAAGAAGCACATTGATGATCATAAATTGAAAGATTTCAAAGCAAAGAATTATCTATTTCAAGCATTAGAACGTTCGATCTCGGAGACAACCCTCAACAAGGATACAGAAACTCAATTCATCATACCTGATGATGGCGTTGAGGATCCATTGACCTATAAACAGGCAATGAATGATGAAGATAGAGATCTGTGGATCAAAGCCATGAATCTTGAAATGGAGTCAATGTACTTCAATTCAGTCTGGGAACTTGTAGATCAACCAGATGGGGTAAAACCTATTGGTTGCAAATGGATCTATAAGAGGAAACGAGACCAAACCGGTAAGGTACAAACCTTTAAAGCTCGTCTTGTAGAAAAGGGTTATACCCAAAGAGAGGGGGTGGACTATGAAGAAACCTTCTCTCCTGTTGCTATGCTTAAATCGATTAGAATACTCTTGTCTATTGCCACATTTTATGATTATGAAATTTGGCAAATGGATGTCAAGATAGCCTTTCTAAAGGGCAATCTTGAAGAGAGTATCTATATTGCTCAACCAGATGGGTTCATTAAACAAGATCACAAGCATAGGGTTTGCAAGCTTAAAAGATCCATTTATGGGTTGAAGCAAGCATCTCGATCCTGGAATATAAAGTTTGATACCGCGATCAAATCTTATGGCTTTAAACAGAATGTTGACGAACCTTGTGTTTATAAAAGGATTGTCAACTAGCTTTCCTAGTGTTGTACGTTGACGATATTCTACTCATTGGGAATGATGTGGGATTTCTGACTGACATTAAGCATTGGCTAGCGACACAATTCCAAATGAAAGATTTGGGAGAGGCTCAGTTTGTTCTTGGAATCCAAATTGTTCGGAATCGTAAGAACAAAACACTAGCATTGTCTCAGGCATCGTATATCGACAAAATGTTGATTCGATATAAGATGTAGAACTCCAAGAAAGGATTATTACCTTTCAGGCATGGAGTTCATTTGTTGAAGGAACAAAGTCCTAAGACACCTTAAGAAATTGAGGATATGAGACACATTCCCTATGCATCAGCAGTCGGTAGTTTGATGTATGCCATGCTATGTACCCAACCTGACATATGCTATGCTGTGGGAATTGTCAGCAGATATCAGTCCAATCCAGGACGTGCTCATTGGACTGCCGTTAAGAATATAATCAAGTATCTTAGGAGAACGAGGGACTATATGCTAATGTACGGTGCTAAGGATCTGATCCTTACACGGTACACTAACTCAGATTTTTAGACTGATGTAGATTCGAGGAAATCGACATCAGGATCTGTCTTCACTTTGAACGAAGGAGCAATAATATGGCGAAGCATAAAGCAAGGTTGCATTTCTGATTCCACCATGGAGGCTGAGTATGTTGCTGCTTGTTAAGCAGCGAAAGAATCTGTATGGCTTAGAAAGTTCTTAACTGATTTGGAAGTCGTTCCAAATATGCATCTTCCCGTCACTCTTTATTGTGATAACAGTGGAGCAGTTGCAAATTCGAAAGAACCAAGAAGCCATAAGCGAGGAAAACATATTGAGCGCAAATATCATCTCATAAGGGAGATTGTGCAACGAGGAGATGTGATCGTCACACAGATAGTTTCGGAGCACAACATTGCTGATCCATTTACAAAGCCTCTCACGGCTAAAGTGTTTGAAGGGCACCTAGTGAGTCTAGGACTACGAGTTATGTAATCTAGGGCAAGTGGGAGAAAAGGCATGAGTATGTGATGCCCTAGTTTATTGTATTTATGTCTCTCTCTACTCAACGTTATAAAACCCCACTGGAGTTTTAGTCCAAGTGGGTGTTTGTTGGGTTTTATGTCCTAAAACTCATAGTTTGTAAACAAAGACATATTCTATTTTCAATAAAGTTATTACTGATGTTTATTCAGTAAAGATTGTTATTGAATAAAGTGAACTTTACGATCATTAATCTAAATCCAATAAACTAAGAACACTTTGACTATAGTATGATTACTTGAACTATATGTAGAGTCTCTCTTCATATATGCTAAATCCCTCCCAAGTTTAGTCACTCACCGGATTCAACAATTCTGTTCTAAGGACGAAGGATAGTGGAGAAGACACTAGTGGTGGATCGAAACCGGTTCGTGAGGAAAAAAGAATTTGAACTACAAAAGGTTAGTATTCAAATTCATTAAGTTTTAATACTTATGAACATGCTAGTTATTTACTATAATTGATGTTCTAAAAGTGCCAAAGATCCAAATTGCTTCCGCATGTGTTATATTAGAACCATTAGTGGGCACTACACTCAGATAGTGTGAAGGAGCTCGTTGCAGCTTGGATGTGCTAAAGTGCCCTGCAAGGCTAATTCTCAGTTTGTTGTTTGCAATTATGATCCTCCTAGTAACTAGATTGGGGAAAAGCCT